GCCTAACAAGTCCCTTAGAACGAAAAAATTCTCTTCAGCTCAAGCTAGTGTTAACTGGAAATTTGTTACTGATGCGCTGGTTATCCTTGGATTATTTTTGTCACCATCAAGGTTTTGTTTACACACATGCCGATAAAAATTTGTTCGTCGGGTAACTAATTGTGTATGAAATAAACTCGAGTCCGCATCATGTTTTCGTGCCACGTTGTGGCACTTTAAATACGATAAAATTCATCTGAGAGGTGGAAACTCAGGAAGGTGAGAATTATTTTCAATTCAACTCCCAGTAGATTTCAAAATTGTCACATAACCCACACCTCTCTATTACCCGCAGTGGCACGTGTTTAAGACAAAATCAACAGATTACCCGTGGGTAGACGGCCGGAAATTACGGTACCTTCAATTCACCTTTTAGGTGTTAGATTTCACGTGTAGCGTTACATGATTTTTTACGTAAACAAACTGCAAAAGTTCGGACATCCAGTCTCAAGAAATTTACCACACATGTATGAACTACAAGTCGTTATTTCATGTTCCCATTACTATATAATTTTTCCAGTGCTTAAAGTCTTGAAAAGTTGGAAAAACTCTAAAAAGTTCTAGGTTCAAAATGTCCAGTCGGAAGAATAAAAGCAACCTTCACACCATGAATGTGGCAGAACTTAAAAAATATTTGCAAGAATGTGGAGTTTCAGTAAGCGGATATTTGAAAACTTCGCTGGTAGAGATCACCTCTGCAGTCAAAAGAATGGTTTTGCCAGTGGATCCAACTTTCAAAAAAGATCAAACCAATGATGCAAACAATTTAACAATTCATGATATGGTAATTCCCAATCCATTGTAAGCACATTGTAGCCATGATGTACACCCTAGAAGATTTTGTTAAACACTTGTGGTAGCAACAGTGTAACTGGTGTCCCCTGCATCTGGATTGAGAGACCAAGAGCAAATACTCAAGCATGCAAAGCATAGAATTTGGTGATCAAGAAAGGCAAAACACCCTCCTACAGAAAAAGGAAACGTAAACACACGTACTCCCAAAATATTGACACAGATGTCAATGCTCCTGAAGACACAATTGCACCAGATGAGGAGTAACTTAGAAAATTTACCCAAAAGATGTGCCAACTGGAAACTGATAAACCTGTTATCTTTCCCTTACCAAAAAAACTTTATTGCAGTCCAGAAGCTGACACTGATCTCTGTGATGAAACCGCCAAATCAAATGGTAATAAGGCCAACACTGGTATTATGAATACTAAATTACTAGAGGTTTTGAGAAATGATCCCAACATTACAACCGAAGAAGTTTTGAGTTTGTTGTTATTCGATGATACAGAAAGGGAGCATGTTGAGAGCCCCACCTCATAGCAATTGCAATGTCAGGAATGCTACCTACACAAGGCAGGCTTCATAACAGCTTTAAAGTGCAAGAGAGTCTTCACCAGGCAGGAAGCACTTGAGAAAAATAATGCTGAAAATGTCACAAAGGTGGTAGAAGATATTACATTAGCCAAGACACCTCACATTCATTCTAAACAAAAGGAAATGGAACTACAAAATGCCAGGGAGCGAGGGTTATTTCATGAAGAGAGTGCTTGCAAGGCATATCAGCATGTTGCCAACCATACCCACCACAAACTGGAACTAGTCTCCAAAGGCTTTATAATTTCAAAGTCTAAGCCTTTCCTTGCTCACCAGGCATATCAGCATGTTGCTAACCATACCCACCATAAACTGGAACTTGTCTCCAAAAGCTTTATAATTTAAAAGTCTAAGCCTTACCTTGGTGTTATTGTGGATAACATTAAGAAATGTCAATGCTCTAATGGTTGTCGATACAAAGTTGTAGAATATAAATGCCCTTGGAAACACAGAGGTCTGCACCCAAAACAAGCTTTCCTTACCCCAGAAATTGGTGACCTTAAAAATGGAAATGAGTTTGCATTGAAGCCTACTTCACAGTATTACTTGCAAGTTCAGCTTCAAATGTTTGTAAGTGAGCTGATGTTGAATATCTTTTTTGTGTGGACAAATAAAGGAATCTTCACTGTTGAGGTGTCCTACAACCCTGGCTCCATGTCTATTGTCTGTACGAAACCAGAAAAGTTTTGGACCAGTCGGGTTCTCCCTTTCAAGATGACTGAAGTTTTCCAGGACAGTATTGCCTGGTATAGTTATCAACTTTTCTCTAACTATTAGAATTAATTAATGCAAGTATCCGTATTCTGGTCACAAACATATCAGTGCACAGAAGTGCACAGCTACTGAGACTTGTAGGGTAGGTTGCCATAACATGTAAATGTGAACTTTTGTTTTGCTTCAAAGTTAATATTAATTTCAATCTTGAACACTGTCATATAATAATTTGCTATATTTGGAAGTTCATGCACTATCCTGTTAAGAGGAACTGCGCTTTTATTTCTCTTTTGGTCGTTCTCATAGGTTTGGCACAAGAGGTATGCTCTTCTCAAGCTACCAGCTGCTCACAATTAAAACAGACCATCAGTTCTATACAGCAGCCCAGTTATAATTCGGAAGTTGTCAGCACTTCACAAGAAGCAGATACCAGCACTTTCCAAGGCACCAACTGTCCTAGGCAATCAGATTTTCATGTAATAGATTTGTCAACCTCACAATACAGTACCCCTCACACACCTCCAGATAAAGTGCAACTTTCTGGACTTCAAATCCACAAGGAGGATGTACAAACTGTCCAACCAAAGTCAATAATCACTGACACAATAGTTTTGTTTTTGTTCAATTGAGTAGGGTTGATTAAACTGTATGAATTTCTGGTTGATTGCAGCATATATAGTTACAGTTTTTAGTGTTACTTTGTGCCAGTGCCACACCAGTGCATAAAGCTATATATGATTTTGTGTTTTGGTTTCAGGGAATTACCCCATGTGTAATCCAGTTGTCAGTATGTTTTTCTATACCATTTTATGTGGGGAACAGGATGTTGGTCAAACATCCTCAAGGTACATATTTGAAATGTACTTAAAGTTCAATAAACAGAACATTGTAATGCATACATAATTGCCATGATGCCAGAATTAATATACACATTAATAATTCTTTTACTAGCTTTTACTATTTATGGTTACATCTAATCTTCTGTTGTTATTTTTAGACTGGTTCAGATGACATCAGAAGAGAAGTTTTTTAAGAGGAACTTGCAGAACAGTGAATGTGTGTTCATTCTAATTAATAGAAGGTCAGAAATATTGCATACAGTGTAATACAAAATGTTACATGAATTGAAATGTTACAATTATACACCCGGCTTGAATTCATAAACGGAGATACATTTTTTTTTAAGTTTACATAATTTAGCTCTTGGTTGTCTTAAACCCATGGTAAGCATACAATTAGTGCAAGAATGTATCTATATCTACATCTATATTTATATAAATCGCCATCGAATCGAATAAGAAAACCATAAACTTTCTGACAAAGCAACCACCCACCCGCACTACTGAAGAACATCCCAGAAAACATCCACAAACGACTAACCAGCATCTCATCCAGCCAGAAAGTTTTCGAAGACACCAGTCCACCGTACCAGAAAGCGCTTGACGAGAGCGGCTACAAACAAAAGCTCACATACAACCCACAGCCAAAGCGCAAAAGAAACCACCAAAAAAGATCATATGGTACAACCCCCCCATGGAACGGTAACGTAAAAACCAACCTGGGAAGGAAGTTCCTCAACATTATTGACAAATGCTTCCCAAACAGACACCCCTTGCACTAGATCTTCAACAAACACACACTGAAGCTAAGCTACTCTTGCATGCCCAACATGAAAGGTATCATCTCGTCACACAACGAAGCAGTACTATCAGATTACCAACAGTTGCAAACACAAACAAGCCACAAAGAATGCAACTGCAGATAAAAAGATCAATGCCTGCTAGAGAAAATGCCTGACACAAAATGTAGTTTACCAAGCAACAGTCACAACACAAACATCATCAGAATCGTACGTCAGCCTCGCTACAAATTTTAAGGACCACTACAGAAACCACACGGCATCCTTTCGACATCAAAACAAGAGAAACGAAACCAAACTGTCAAAACATATTTGGACACTCAAAGACAACAACAAACTGTTTACCATCAGGTGGAGAATTATTAAGCAGTGCAGACCCTACAATAACATTAGCAATAAATGTAATTCATGCCTTTTTGAGAAATTCGTCATCATCTGTAAGAAGAATTTGTGCAGTCTAAACAAATGAGACTAACTAGCAAGCACGTGCCCCCACAGAAACAGATACCTTCTCAAGACCTTTGTGACAAAATAATGCAATCTTTCAGTAACACATGATTTAGGTTTTTAAATCCCATAGCAAGTATTTTCTATTGTCAATTTTAAATGTATATAGCCTATCATAGCAACTGTTTTTCTGTATCCCATAGCAACCTCATGTAAGCTTTTATTGCCAGTTTGTGTAATTTAACCATCATTCATTGATATTGCCTGATGAGTGTGGTCATTCTCTGACCATACGAAAAGCGTCGCATTAAAATGATGAACAGAAATTTTGCTAAAATTGATCATTATTATAATTACTGCTCCTCTCAGAGTTAAGCGCTTTACAGATTTATTCTATTCAGGTTAAGAATTTTACATATATATATATATATATATATATGTAATATATACCACAAAGGTTGGGTCATTTGGGGAGACCGTCTCAGTTCTCCCCCATCCTAGCATCGGCACTGCACTGATGAGGCCCAGAAGGCCGAAACAGTACTGTCTACAGTTAGTTATATATATACAATTATATATATATATATAACAAGGTAAAAGGTCTCGAGCCAACAGTGACTCAACTGATGAAGGTCTCGGACTGAAACGTATGTTATCAAACTTTCTTAAACTTTTTATTTGAGTATATGTCTTTCTTAGCTCGAAGTTGTCCATCCTCGTGTACTACAATATTTTTCCTATATATATATATATATATAACTAAGAGTACAGACCACATAATTATATATATATACTAGGTAGAAAAAGTTCAAGTTCTGGATACCTTGCTGCTTTCATGTCCAAATTGAGCACTGTGGGATGAGTCATTGCTGCTAGCATTGTGCATAGCTCACTAGGCTTTTCTAGTTTGAGCACTCTGGCATGGCTTAGACGATACCACAAATGTCGGATCGTTTGGGGCGACAATATCAGTTCTCCTCCATCCTAGCATCAGTACTGTACTGGTGAGGCCCAGAAGGCTGAAACGGTACTGTCATATCATCCCTGCAGTTAGATTTATATATATATATATATATATATATATATATATATATATATATGTATATATATGGCAGCATTAACTCAAAGCCACAACAGATTGAAAAAAGCAAGAAGGGTTTCTGCAAAATTTTCTGCAAAAACTGCTTAAAAATCACAGTTGAAGCCAACATCACTAAAGTAAATTTTTGAGATGTCACCCTTGACCTCTAATCTCGCAAGTATTACCCCTGCACAAAAGATGGAAACATTCCACTCTATGTTCACAAAAGATCCAATCATCCGCCATCCATCCTAAAAAATATCCCGGAATCCATCAACAAGCGCCTCTCAGAAATTTCTTCCGACAAGGAATCCTTTGAAAAAGCCAAAGGTACCTACCAAGATGCCCACAACAATCTGTCCTATGGAAAAGCTCCTCCAGCTCCAGAAACCAAACACTGCAACAATAGGCCAAGAAACATCTGACGGCTAACCAGTTGCAATTCGGATGGAAGCATACCAAACGATTAAAATACACCGACACATTTTGGACCCTCAAAAAAGCACGTGCTTATTTTGTGTAGGGTTTGGAGAAACTCAACAACCTTAATTTACAAAAATCGGACAAAATAATCTAACTGATGGTTCAGATGTAGCAAAATTATTTATAAAGATAAAATACCTTTGCTCTGCTGAGCTCGAGAGAATCCGGTTCATTTTGACCGACCATGACTCGCATCTTCACTTGTTCCAACACGGATCACTGTACATAATCAAAAATTTGAAATACACAGTACTGAATTCCAACTATAGCTGTTAAAATAAATAGGAAAAGAGCGGAAAAATGCACGAAACCAGCTATGAATTTACCGGCGTAAATTATCAAAGAAACGCTTACCGAAACACATGCCTTTTCACAAGCTTCGCGTTGCCGTTCCTGATTCCATCAGCGGTATGCACAGCCGCTCTTTACGCCTACTTCCCCTCTCTACCATTTTTCTACCAGTTCTTGGGTAGCTAACATCGTTCTCTCAAGCATTTCCAGCCGAGAAAGCACAAATCGCACAGCATGCCGCGTGGGCAGCACAACGTCGAAGACCACACTGTGTCATGTGATCATTAACTGGAGCCTACTGTCCTTTTGATCAGTGTCAAAATATTGGTCACGCAATCACTAAACGAGTAAAGAGGTCTGTACTGTAAGTCACGGACCGAGTTTCCATAACTTACAGTACAGACTGAGGAAAAACGGCATATCTATTAATTATCATCTCTGGAGAAATCTCTGGGTTCAAATTTGAAGGTATGTTCGACCAAAATGATGCCTTTGACATGAACATGTCCTTTCATTTCCCTACCTGAAGTTAACTCTAATCCAAAGAGTTCTCCAATCATAAGTCACAAAACCATTTCTACAAATTTATTACCTGTTTCCATAACTAGCAGTGCAGACTGAGGAAAAAAGTTAAGTAGGATATTCATTAGGATATTTGAAGTTTAACATATATTAGGAGAGCGTTAATTTTATTTAACCTGGCAAGAAAAAAAAGGATATCAACTTGCAGGCCATGGCGTGCGTTTCTCTGCCCTCTGGGAAAATTTGAGACGAGCACGAGTCAGGAGAAGGTTTGCTGGGAGTCATGCACTAATAATCAATGTTAGACTCCGGAACCTTCTAGATCTCTCGCTGGCCCGTGTTGCTTAAGGTATGATAATTTCAGTTCCCGCTGGCGAAGCCAATGCTCGTGCCGAGGGGCTGATAATGAAGGCGTGTTCGTAAGCCAATTTGTGTGTTACAGAACACTAAAAGAGCCTGAAGATTCTGCGCAGATGACTTTCCGAACAATACCTGATCCTAAACATTTTCTCCGCATTTTGAGAGACAACATGTAAATTTAAAGGTACTGTAGTGCACGGAAACTTGCATCTTCACGTTATGCTTGTACATACGGTTCTGATATTTGGAAAATTATTTCACCAGGGCCAGCCGTGGGAGGGAGAACTAATAATAATAGGCTAACGCAAGAGCCCGTGTAATGGACTCCTGGTTAATGGGGATGTGCCGCTGGATGGGATTACATTTTCACGACAGGATTGACTATAATAGGGTTGCATTTCGATTAGCGTTACTAGAATGGAGTGGTACAGTTTCGAGATTTTTGGGGAAGAAAATTCTGCTAAGTAGAAATTTAAAAATGAGAAACTTTTTGTTTACCTTCATACCAGCATTGAAATGTTCGCATAAAATTAATTAATGACCGAGCTTTATACGGTAAATGCATTCAGTTAACAGAAAGTGACCAAGTTGGGACCATGAAAATTACATTTGCCCACAAAAGTGACCAAGATTGGGTCTAATTGTCCACAGAATAGACTATAAATGGAGTTCGAGCTTCTAAGAGGCCGGGCCCAGGAAGAAATGACCCAAGTACGCCCCTCCCGGGCTTCTGAAACGTAATAATAATCTTTTCAATGTGTAGTCTTATGAAACAGGTATCATTTTTTACCGATGATGAAAGGTCTATCGTCTTGACTCTTAATAAGCTAAGTGGTAGACATTAGGATATATGGGGGGTGACCGTCTGCTGGCTCCAGAAATTTGTCGTTGTGCAATACTATGGATACTATGGAATAAGGATTCGTGTACGTGACCCAAAACAAAGCAACGATTTTTCAGGGACTAGTGTGCGGTCTCCGTTAATCAGCTCAAATCTAAACCCGCATTTCACATGACTTAGTTAAGTTTATTAAGCCACCATTATCTGGAGAAGTAAACAAAAGGGACGAGGTGTGCATAAAAGCTATCTTCTCCGGTTTCTATTATCAATTACTTAGATAAGTCTGAGATAGGTATCTTCAAAAAATTAAGTGCGGGGGAACATCATCCATTGCACCACTACCTTCCCAGGATTAACTCTGCTACCCGTAGGCTTAGGTAAGTTAAGCCAATATATCCACTTTGCAATACTGAGCGTTTTAAAAATTATTTTATTAATAGACTTAGTTTTAAGCATAACTTAGCTGTAAGTAATTAATATATATTTTACCCCATTACACTTTATATGTAACACTTGAGATGTATTTTATCAGTGAAATAAAGACTATTTACTTTACTTTATCGTCGAGCGTGAATCATCAAAGAAACCCTTACCGAAGCACGTGGCCTCTTCGCGAGCTCCGTTGCCTTTCTTGATTCATTACTGACCTCTTCGCAGCTGCTTCCCTTCTCTGCTATTCCTTACCAGTCCTTGGGAAGCTAACATCGTTCTCTCGGGCATTTCCAGACGAGGAAAAAATAATACATTTTCGTGGCATGACGCGAGGGCCAGAACAACTGGGAAGACCACACCTTCAGTCAACCATACTTGTTCTTGTCAGAAGACGAATATGCAAGTCCACACGTAAACTATGTGTGAGCAGAAGGTTTCAAAACTATTTCCAGAACTGAATGAACAAAGATGTAAAAGGATATAAATTATACCTGTACTCAGAGAGCCAGAGTTAACGTTTAATAACAGAAAGCATATAGAAATATGATTAAAAAAAAAACATGTAATATGACTTGGAAATGCAGACGCGGAAGAAAAGAAAAAAACCAAACCAAAACGAAAAAAATCAATTAAACATTCGAAAACGAAGAAATGTAAGATGAAAGAGAAAAATTTTACTTATTTGTAAAAATTAGATTTATGCATGTTTCAGAGGATGAAAACGACTTTCCAATAATCCATAGAGGGAACTTGTAAATCCTTTACCACAAAATTAGAATTTGTGGCAAAAAAAGAAAATCCGAAAGTGAATTTACGACAGAAGTTAGGTTTTGCTGCTCGCGAGGAAACTTCATGTGTCTGCTCCGATTTCCTTAACCGTAAAAAAAAAAAAAGAGAAGAGAAATAGAATTAAAATTAAAAGGAGCGAATTTTCTTATCTAAACTGAGACTGAAGCACAGCTGCTTGCGTGAGCTAATATAAATTCATAAATTTTAATTTATAAAACGTTTAATTCTAATGAACGTTTTTTTTGTGTGAAACTAATTTTATGTTATTTCATATTCTTCTTCCTATGTTTAGCGGACAAAAACTACTTAAATTTTACAACACAGAACGTATTAACAACAAAAACATCACCCAGTCATTCTATTTTTTGGATAATAATAAAGAAACGCGTGGAAACTTCTAATAATTTACAATTTATTTCTAAGCAGGCCTGTCTGTCAGTTGAGCTTGTTAGTTAAGTGATGTGTTCAGGGTTTTGTAACCATTCATATTTATGCGACGTCTTTAATATCAAAGGATGTAAACAAATATCCGACATACTGTTTCATGCAATAGCTTTGAACGATCTTGGCGCCGAGTATAGTGCGTGCATAGTTGTCTTGAGGAATATTACTTTTATACCCGTCACATGCAACAAGAAGGACTATAAAAATTGATAAAGATAGATAGATCCGTTGTCTCCATTGTCTTCACAAACGGGTTTATACAATACGGGCTGTTCGGTAAAGGTGTTTCGGGCACGTTTAAACAAACGTGGCAAGCATGTAAAACTTTCTGGAGAAAAATATAGAAACACTCGATGTTATCTACAGGTTAAATATCATTTGTTCCACAAAAACTACGTGCAGGGTGAAATACCGCTGGGTTGGAATTTGAAGTCGTGTGAGCGCGAGTTCAAGACACCTACTTCCACTACAGAGAACCCCTTTACTACTTGTAAATAACATTACAAATTTTCTTTAAGACCTGTGAATGGACTGTTTTCATCTCTTCTAAACATTTGTTAATGAAGTTCGGCTGGTCTTAGTAAAACAAAACCAACCATTTAACGTAGCCTTCACTCGGGAGCTGATTGGACATCTCGCGCGAGTTTCTTTGTTATTCAAATCGTAAGCTTAAACGCTTGTCTCAGTTTGCTTTTCGTACGAGTAATAAATTAATAACGCCAAAAAAACGAACCTCAATCGTTGCAAATTTGCTCTAATGCGAAGTACTTCGAGATTTTCTCAACTCTACCAAGCCACAGATATTGGACTAGTATTGGTTTTAGATTTTTGCGTATAAAAACACTTTCGGGGGTAGTCACATTCTGACTGTTGCTACTCGATGATCACTGTACTCTGTTTGTGAGTCGTGAGTAAATTCATCGAAAAAAAACAGCTTGAAATGAATAAGTTAACAGTGTGAAATTCCATTTCCGAGCGACTAAACATGGCCGAGGAACTGCAGCGAGTCGATTCTAATCTCAAGCCGAGCGAACTGAAGGCGGCATTCAAGCGAAGCCGAGATATCGATGCTCTGTTGGACGAGGAAAGAGAATTGAAAGAGAAAGAAGTGCAGCTGTTGATTTTGGGTAAGAATACCGCAGGGCTTACAAATTCCTGGGTTGCCATTTCGGCCTAGTAAAGAGCGGGTTGAATATTTTATTTCTAGCATTTTTTCAACCTTACAATTCTCGCTCGTATTTTGCCAAACCAGCGAATCAAAACACGTTCGCCGCCACTACTAATAAGCCATGAATTGACCGCGTTGGAAAGTAAAAATCAAAAAACTTTCGGTGTACATTTGCTAACATATTCTTAATTTTTCTTTATGTTTTTAAGTAAACAACAACCCAAAAATTTCTCGATAGCAAACAGAACCCTCTCGTATAATCAAGTTCGCCGCCGAAAGATAGTCCATAAATTCGCAATCTAAGATATATATATATGAAAAACTTGATGGCATTAGGGTGATAGTGTTTTATCGTCGCAGATGCAGATATTGTAATTAAGACTTCTAACTTCGCTTAATATTATGCCTTACGAAATGTTCTTCAGGCGCTTGGAAAAGAAAGAAGCGAATACAAAAGCACTTTACCTTCTAGACAAACAAACGACATTTGAGGAAATGGATTAAATATTGGACCAACATACGTAAATTTGAACTCTTCAAACTTACGTACGTCCTGAAAATTCAAATTTTCCCTATGTTATGAAATGTGAATTAAAACGTGACCGCCAAAATATTCACATACCTGTAATTCGTGCGAATTGTACTGCCCTGTTGATTAATTGATCGTTTTCTTTTTAATAAACAAGAATTCGTACTTGGTTTTTTAAGATTAACATTTTGAGACAGCTTGGCGAATTCGATGTGAAATTATTAATCATGGCGAAAACCACAAAAGACATCTGACTTTACAGCCAAGAAGAAAAATATGAATAAATATTTCATCAAGAACGATTAAAAATAGATTATAAAATGCACTGAATATTTTCATCGTCTTTTGTTGAAAGTAATTACAAAATTGTAAACACTGAAGTTATTCACTGAGTTTAATACATTTAATTTATTGACTGCTGAGAAACTGAAAGTCAATTTCCCTTGAGAAGCCTTAAACATATGGTTCATTATAATTTCACTATTATTTTTGACAACAAAGAAAATTACAGATGTTCATACATAAACATGTCGATGGATTTGCATGATAGGTCTAT